TATTCTATACCCTCTCTTCTGAACCGCGTTATTAATCTTATACTATATATATATCTCTGCTCTCTCTCTCTATCTATCAGTCTCCCTCTCATCCTATATCTAAAATCTATCCTCATACAAGAATCTCTATATATATACCACATTATGTATTACACTTCGCCACAAGAACCATAATAGACCGACCACGTGCTTCTGAACTAACGCTAATTGTTCCAGGACTTCGAGAAACAGCTATTCGCAAAATCATCGGCCTAGGTCCCCTTCCACGCTATCCCCCCCTCGCCGGCTACTACAAGACCTGACCCCCCCCGCCGACCTCCTAAATCTACCCTCTACCTCCATACCTATAACTATAATCTTAGACTCAATATTTCCTTGACCCCTCCCGCCCCCGATTAGTAGAAGACCCGTACGGGGGTGAATCAGATTGTATTGTGGACCTGCTGGTATTGACCGGGGTACTTTCCATTTTTGTCTGTTAATTTAGCAGTTTCTGTCTGTTTGACTTGGTCTGTTTTTATTATTAGGGGTTGTACTTTTGCGAAGTGTGAAGATGGACCAGACACCCACCATCGGCGGTGGCCAGTGCGTGAGTGTGCGTGCGTGTTTTGGTCCTCGTGTAATGTATGCACGCTTCGTTGTGCTATCTCCACACACCCATCCAGTTGTCCGCTGTGAGGAGGGGTTCGGGGTCGCTTTCGGATATTGGTCTTCCGGAGGTCAACAGTGTGGTGATCTTCTGTAATCTGTTTTTTTTTTTTTTTTTTTTTTTTTTTTTTTTTTTTTTTTTTTTTTTTTTTTTTTTTTTTTTTTTAACGAACGCGGTGGGGGGTTCAGGGGGACCCAAACACACACACACCACACACACATACAGCAAACCGCAGGGATGGACGACACACACGACACGCCCGTGGAGGGGGGGAGGTGTCTTTTGTCTTTGTTTTTTTTGGAGTTCACGGCTACATAACTAAACACGGCAATACATTTGGGGGAGCGCGGTGTTTGTATATTCGTTTATTCATTAAACTCTTGGTAAACTAGTCTATTATAGCATTATTCTTGTTTTTTTTTTTCGTTTTTTTTTGTTCTCNACGGTGTCGGGTTAGGAGGGGAGGGATGACTGTGGAGGGAGTTCTTTTCTTTGTTTTTTTGGGGGGTGTTTTTGCTTTTAGTTCTGTTTTTTTTCTTCTATCACTTCTATTTTTTTTCTCTACCTCCCTTTTCTTTTTCCCTCTCTCTCTATTTATCCCCCTTCTCGCTCGTCATTTCTCTCTCTTTCTTCTCTCCTCTCTCTCTCTCTCTCTCTCTCTCTCTCTCTCTCTTTCTCTCATCTCTCTCTCTCTCTCTCTCCTCTCTCTCTCTAATCTTATCTATCTACCTCCTTATCTATCTCTCTATCTCTTTTCTCTTCTTCTCTCTCTCGCTCTCTATCGTCCTCCGCTCTTTATTCTCCCTCGTTTTGCTTTTACCTATCTCTTTCTCTTTATTTGATAATAAACATATCTTATTAAGCTTCCACTATCACCGTGGCAACAGAATCCAATACAGGAAAAAAAATGTAAAAGTATTCGATTCCACCGAAACAACTGTCTGATGCGGTTAAAGTGCATTCACTTGTTTCATGAGTATAAGGTCAAGGGTCCCCACTGAGGGACAGTGTAGCTCATCCTCAGATTTACGTTGATTATGTCTCCTAATCCTCCTGTGGAGTATTTTGGTCACGACTATGTAAAAAAGGCCTTTTTTTTTCTTTCGTTTTTTTCTTTTTTTCTTTTCTCTTGAAGGGGGATGGTGAGGGGGGGGGGGGTTGGCTGCTTCGATTTGGAACTTTAATTACTGTTTGTCCTTTTTTTATGACTTTTCCGAGGTCACTGTCCTTTGTTTTAGAATTATGTCTTTCAACCCCCCTTTATTCGTCCTCGTGTTTCTCATCCTTCTCTCTCCCACCATTTTTCCCCTTTCTCCCTATTCCTCATTCTCCTTCTTCTTCTCTTCTCGCTCTCCCCCCCCCCATTCATCTCCTTCTTTTCCTTCTTCCTCCCCTTCTCCCTTTCCAACTCGCTCTTACTCTTCCTTCCCTCCTTCTCCCCTCGTCGGACCTTCTGTAATCCACAAAAGCACTTGAATTATAATCCTAAATCCCTCTGGATCTATAGTCTTCCTCGACTTGCTTAACAACAGATGACCACGCCCCTCCCACTTCCCTCTCCTCTCTTCACCCCCTCCCCTCTTTCCCCCTCTTCCCCTTTCTCTACTCCTCCATCTCCCCCCCCACTTGCCTCTTCCCTTCTCCTTCTCCCCTTTCCTTTGCTACTTCTTCCTTCTAATTTCTCAGCGGAGGATCCCTTTTCTCTCTTACTCTTCATTTGAAATCTTCTCTTTAATTTCTTTCTTTCTTTTTTCTTCTCTTTTCTCGTCTACCTCCCTCCTTTTCGCTCCCCTCTCTCTCTCTCTCTTTCTCTCTTCTCTCTCTCTCTCTCTCTCTATCTATTCTATCTCTATCTGTTTCGTATTCTATCTACCACGAAAATGTTT